TGCGTTGGTTATCCTCTTTTATACTGGGTTTATGTGGGAAAAAAGGAGTGACGGCACATATAAAGCTGCCATTGCTGCAATGCTATCCTGCATTTTCCAACACAAGGAGCATAGACCTTTAAAAAAATTCACTATGAGACATGGTCCCTCCAAATTGGCACAACCAAACCCCCTTGGCTCATGGAATAAATACAATTAACATGGTTAAAACAGCACTTTTGCTGACAAAGTGTATTCCCACTTAGTCTAACTGAAAGATTGCGGGAAAGACTGTACGTGCTCTGCAGCCAAATTTATTGTGGACATTGTTTAAACTGCTGCCTGTCTGAGAAGTCCACCCACACCTAACTGGATAGTGCTAAAAAGACCTTGAGAGATCCAAAACAATGATCCAACACATCTGCACATATGGCTCATGATGTAAATGATTTGTTCTGCATTACAGTTTATATAAGCCGTGTCTGAAGGCTGGAACGGCTCCAGATTCTGCCGGTGACACATAAAAGACTAACACTATTTATTACAGCTGCTAGAAGGGAGAACCTCACACTCACCAGCGCAGAGAGACACGTTTATACACAAAGAAAATGACAGGAGAGTCGACTCTGCAGATACAAAGGACATTTGGTTTTTACAGATACATAGTTTGAGGCTCTGCAAACAAGACCATACATCTTCAGCATTGGCCGTCTTCCTGCGGTACTATCTAAATCCTCCCTGGCCCACAATCTGTCTGGAAATACAATAGATTCGCTGACTAGGAGAAACCACCGACAATGAAAAAGGATAAGAATGAATATTGGAATTTCTCTTTGCGTTACATTTTTACAGTCTGAGTTGCTGAACAAACAGACTCTTAAAAGTCAACATGATTTATGATGTCACTGCCACCATCCAGTCACTGGGTACGCTGGGTCATCGGGGTTTTTTTGGGCTTGGAGCAGAGTGCCAGAGGGTTTTGGGAGAGCGTTGCAAAGTATGGTGTCTGGATATATATTATTTGAACTGTGACAAAACATTTTCATAGGATATTTTTGATCATGTTAAATTGGGTGAAACTGAGTGTTGCAGAATTTTCAGAAGACATTTCACAAAATGTGTCTCACAAGAAACAGTAGTACAATACTGTAGTGCACTTTTTTATTTATTTGCATCACAGGGATCAGAGCAGCGGCAAAGAAAAACAATTCTCCGGGCAGATAATATGGCCGACATCTTCACATTAAAAATTTGACATCAGGGAGACATTGTCCATCAACACCAAGCATCATGATGTAAACACAGACTGCACCTCCTCTCGTCCCACCAGAGTCCTGCTGTCCGCCCGTCAAGTGCAGCTTGATCCTGGATGAACGATGGATCCAGGTCTTTGTGAAGATGTGGGCTCAACAGTCACCGACCTCCTGCTGCTTTCATCCATCTTATGTTCCTGCGACCGGACATCAGCCAGCAGCATGCTGGGTATTGGAGTAGCCTCAGGTCCTAGCTGGGTTAGCTTAGCTTCCATCTCGCCTCTCCTACCTGGGGCAGTTTGGTGGCGTTAGGGTCCGACGGGCCTGGCTGGTTGGTCGGCCGTGGAGCGGTGATCGTCTCAAAGTCCGCTGCACTTAATCCCAACGCTTCCTTTTCAGATGTTGATGAATGTATTCTGTGAAATGCCACTAGTGAGTTCAGGCTGGTCTTATCCAGCATTTGTAGCTATACCTACGAAACATAATTTGCTGTAATTCGTACACACAAACAATGATTAAGTTCATCATTTTTTAGCCTCACACTCATTATTTTGTGATAGTTTCCCAATATAATGACATACAGATTTGATTTTCATCACAGTGGCAGCAATGGGCTTCCATACTGTGGATCATCACCTGCCCCTCATTCCCTGTCATCAGGCACTTAAGTATACCTGCCCATTGTCAGGTTGTTTAAACTGCCATTACACCATTGTGTTTCATCCATCTGCTCCCTTTCTGCCTGCTTGTTTGTAGGTTTTGATCTCTGCCTGTTTTATCCTCGTGCTGCTCCCGTTAGGACGCGTTTACCTTTTGCCGACAGCCAACTGAACATAAACCAAGTAAACCCCACTTTCATTTCGCCTGCTCTGCCTCTCTGTTCTGCTGTTTGACACACAAACACCTACCAGAACTGTGACAACAAGTGGATCCTTTAATGAGCATGCTCTGAAAAACATATATGAACAAGGTTTCCAACAACGTATTAGAGTTCAGTACAGAAGTTGGCCTCAGTTGGTCCCAGAATAAGTCAAACTCTTTTTTAGAATCACAGGAAGCATTCTCTGAGCTGAATCACTCTTGAGTCAAGCTCAGTTTGGGGAGCAGAGGTTTGCCAAACTGGGATCCGATCCCAGCTTGGTCAATTTAGCTCAACATTGGAGGCACTTTATCGCAAATTAAGTTGTAAAATGTTTGTATGTATTGTACAGAATTTCATCCAATTTCCAAACTGAGGGAATACTCCAGCAGCAGAAGACTTGTTTTATGTTTTATCTGTAATGCAAAAAGAGGGAGGTATAACCGACAACGTTAATGTACATGTCCTGCGTGAGTAGGTGGAGTTCTCCTCTTCAAAATGATTTAATGTAAATGTAAACGTGCCACAAAAGAGTGACACACCCTGAAACCACCATGACTTCATTTCCCTTATATCTTTTTGTCCGACACCACATTGAAATTCTCTCTGCAGAATAATGTCACAGGTCAGTCACTGTTACAAAATGCTCCTCCAAGCTGCCACTCTGATCTCTGACAGCATATTCTCTCGCTCTCTCTCTTTATTTTATTTTTTCAGTGGAGTCGGCACTGCAGGTTTCTAATAAAAGTGGAGTTGCACACATGCTGAGGCATCTTATTACTGTTGGAGTAGAGAAGTGTAATGTGTAATTGTAAAAACCTCAGAGAGGTGGGAGCTACAGTGACACTGAGACAGACGGCGTCAAATTATGCTCTTTCAATTATTGTTATTATTGAGGTTTAGATACAGAGATTATATGAGCAGTAAAGCATTTCTCCACATCATAAATCAGACTGATGCACATTGCAGACCCCGTATGTAACATAGTCACTCTGTTTATGTATTTTATTTGATCAGAATCAAACTGATTTATAGCCAAGGAATTTGTCTTGGTGTTTTATGAATTATTCGGAGATCTAACCCACATATTTTTTTTGAAGAGGTTTACCACTTAAAACTGGTTTTGCTCTGCTCCAGATCTGATGCATGCAGGTCACAACCCTGACTGATCACTCATGCAGTGGAAAAATGAGAGCAGGACTCCTCGGAGGAAGGTGGTGGTGGTAACGTCTTGTCGTTTCCACTGGAAAGAATATGCACATGCACGTTGAGTGGAATTGTGGTTTTTAGCAAAGTAGATCACTCTTGAACACGTTAGGTCTCGAGATATAAGATCACATTTATTCCTCCCCTGGGGCACTGCTTTTTCATGACTGTAGCGGCTTAAGCGTACTGGAAAGAGCATTAAATGGCATTTCTTGGATCAACAAATTAAAATGTGTCTTCTGCCTTTTAACACTTTGTTGGGATTCTGTTTCAATACTGGAACATATTTCATCTTTGTTTTCTTTTATTTATTTGTTTTCCCCAAGAAGGTAAAACTATAATCAATGCATCAAAGGGAGAATCTGGACAAAGTATAGGTCTAAACTCAAACAAAAGCTTTTTCGACTCTCATTACTCAACAGGTGACCATCACGTGTGTTTCTACTTCCTTTCAACCAAACTAGACTTGTGATTTGAAGCCAGCGGGCGACTGAAGAACAGGTGGTCACTGTGTTTAAAGGAAGTTCAGAGAGCATGTTTTTACGTCTTCCGAATTCAGCTTGTGTGCTGCCAGCTACATAGACCAGACATACGCTTTACAACAGGATTTACGCTCTGTTAGATGATTAAATAAAACAAAGATCGATTGCAGATTTACAAAAAAAAAGCAATTAAAACCTTTTGAATCCAGTCTAAACTGTATTCTTTGATGTGTTTCAACTGTTGGGAGGGAAAAAGTGGAGAGGAAAGAGTCAGTAAAGAACTAATAACTAACCTAAATCTGTACAGGCTATATTTTTGGCAGTGGAGGAAGAAGTATTCAGAGACTTTGCTTCAGTAAATATGGTAATACAATATTGTGAAAACACTCAAAGTGTTGTTAAAGTATCACAAGTCAAAATGCTCAGCAGTAGCAGGTTGAGGTACAACAAATTTGAACTAGTTTCCATAAAGTTGAGCAGTTTAATCTATAACGGTGCATCATATTTTGTGATCTTATGTTTTGTATGTAAAATCATGATCTGTAAAGTGACTAGTAACCTTAGCTGAGGAGGAAAATGTAAACAATATAATATAATGAAATATAGTGGCGTTAAAGTAACATAAAAGTGTAATAAGTTAAGTATAATTGAATGACTTAATTATGGGTGTAGTATCAGGAACAGGGGGAGAAAATCCTGCACTTTTTGATGTCATTTGTCTTTTTCTCCAATGTGTCACGGAGGCATTTATGGTCATTTTTAAGATGTGCATTATTATATATCAGCTGCACTTTATTATACAATATTTGTGTGTTTGTGCACTAGTTGTTTTTGTACTAGTTAAAGTACAACTCGTAAAAAAACGTGCTCCTTAGTTCTGAAAGGTGTCTCAAATATTTTGTCCACCTACAGCAAAACTATTAAAACCCCTTTTTTTTGTATAATTCAAACAAATATGTAGCCTAATATAAAAGTCTAAGTCCACATATTGTGCGACATGGTAGGCTATTCTAAAATGATGTTTTATAAAAACCCTTTGAAATGACAGAGCCGTTGCACTGGATTGCGTTTCAAGATGTATGCACGTGGCCACTTTGTTTGTTTCTCAAAAGGCTATTCTCATAACTTCTCCAACCATCTAGCTGCGCCACATCGCGACGGTTTACGTGAATCAACACTGGTCTCAGTCAGTGAGGCTTCCAACGGCTCGGCTGCTCCAGACTGAATGCAGCTCTTTTCTTTTTTTTTAAAGTGACGGAGAGGCTGTAATTTGAGAGTAGCAGAGAGGTATTATTAGCCAAAAAGAACCGACGCGCACTGGAGACATCCAGATGTTGCGTTCGAGGCACCGAGCGAAGTCGGGAGTATAAGCTACTAACTGTTCATACGTTGATACATTTCACCGGCAGTGATGGACGCTGGCAGGCTCGGTTAACAAGAAGAAGTGAGGCTGTTTTAAAAAACACTTTTTTTTCTGTTTGGACAAAGAGGACATTGAGGTAAAAAGCTGCAACAAAGTCTCAACTTAACTGCGCAGTTTTGGACGTTTAAACCGGATTGAAATGTTTGTGTTGGGGATTAAATAGTCCGTCCGGCTGACACTTTCACTGAAATAACGTTTAAAAGTAAAGTTAATTTGGTATTCGTGCGTGTGTTTGGGACAACGTTTAGCACCATGGCTTTTCTTCACTTGCTCCTGTGCACCGGGATGTTGTCGCTGCCGACGTGCGGAGCCTTTTACCGCGGACCGTTACAACCGGAGATGTCCAACGGCACGTTTCATCACTACTTCGTGCCGGACGGAGACTACGAGGACAACGACGACCCGGAGAAGTGCCAGATGCTTTTCAAGATGACCGACGACCGAAAGTGCGGTCTCGGGGAGGATCAGGACGCGGTGATACGGGACGATTTCACCATCATCAAGCGACAGATCGAGGACTCGGCCCGGGTGCTGGAGGGCATCGGGAAGAGCATCTCGTACGACCTGGACGGGGAGGACAGCTACGGGAGGTACCTGCGGAGGGAGACGGCGCAGATAAGCGAGGCGTTCACAAACTCGGAGAAGTCGCTGCTGGAGCTGGAGGTGAAATTCAAGCAGAGCCAGGAGAGCGAGCTGAAGGAGGAGCACCGGCTCAACGACGACTTCCTGAGCATGGTGGTGCACACGCGGGACGTCCTGAAGGACACGGTGGACATTTCTCTGGGACTGAAGGACAAGCAAGAGCTGCTGTCTCTGATCATCCGCAGCCACGGCACGAGGCTGAGCAGACTGAAGAACGAATACATGAAGTTCTGAGAGAAAGTAGTCCCCACACTTTACGGTAGAGGACTATTTTTTTGTTGTTGTTGTGGGTGAGTGTGTGTGAGAGCACGAGGCAGAGACGGGGGTGAAAAAAATGAGCAGTCATATCAGGGATTTAAAAAAAACAAGAAAGTTAAAGGGCCAGTTGTTCCCAACTTTGGTTTCCTCCATTGGGTCAAAAAAGATACATTTTACTTAAAAAGATACATTTTACTTAAAAAGATACATTTTACTTAAAAAGATACATTTTACTTAAAAAGATACATTTTACTTAAATACTCGAGTATTTAATCAGTTCACCCTTTTTGTTGTTGTTGCTGACAAGTATTCAAATCAAACAATCTGATCTGTTTTGTGAGGAAAGATGTTCGCTGCACACAACTCGTAGTCATAAGGAACCGGTGATGAGCAGTTGCAGGTACACTGCTTCACTTTTAAAGGTCAGAAATCAAAACAAAGAAAGTTTGGGATCCACTGCTGTAGAGAGTATGTTACCATGCAGATACGTTCTGGTTGAATATGTCCAGGTCATGTGATATTTATCCAAAGCTCGATTACCAAAAGTGGAAAGAAGGCAGCTGCCCCAGGGGGCCCCCAAAAAGGCCACCCAATACTCGCTGCATATTAATTGTGTTTTGGTAATCTGGTTATTTATTACTTAAGTACAATATCAACTGGATCCCTCGTTGTGACCCGATCTCACGGTCCTGTTTACAGAGGCCTTATGTATCAGACTCTGTTTAAGACCTTTATTATTTTAGTTGATATTATTTAGCTCATGTGGTCCATATTTCCAAACTTAGTTGTGCTCCAGAAGATACAAAATTCCATGCATGTCCATTGGATTAATGGCATGCATCTCTGAGAGGGATAATACAAATCAAAACCTGGGGAAATAAACCAAAGCTATGTCTGTGGCTATAGGAACTGCTGGTAGTAAGAAAGAAAAATGTGTTGTTTTGAACTTTAGTAAGTATCTGACAGCTTACGTTTTATGAACAGACAATGAGGAGTGGGCAATATGGATAATATCCTCTTTCACATTCGCTTCAATGACATTTTTATATGATAATATGGTGATACATTTCCTGAAAAAAGAAAGCTAACTGAGAAAATTCCTAAACGATAAAACAACTAGAAAGGATGACCCCGCAAACTAAACTCATAACAAATCAAAGAACTTCATCGTATGCAAAATAATCATTTAACAACTGCCAAAAAAAGTGGTCGTGCTCAGTGATTTTGCAATATTCCCAGAGATATTAAAGAGCTGCCGAGGTATAAACGGTGTACCTCAACTATCTGACTGTGTAAATCATCATAATGCCCACTCATAGACACTGTAGTCATGGTGTTTACACACCATGCAAACACACAATAGTAGTTCAATCACAAATAACAGTAACATTGTGTGGCTTTATGGCTGCTCTGCTTGGTATATGGTCATTTTAGGTAAGTGCATTGAATTCACCTGGTTTGTGGATGTGTGTGTGTGTGTGTGTGTGTGTGTGTGTGTAAAACAACGGCTTCCAACATGAGTCAGCAGATCATTAAAGTGAGAACAGGAACTGTCAGCTTTCATAACACTGCTGTAGTCAGATGAAGGGTTTTCCCCAAAACTCATTCAGTCCTCTGTGACCAAAGAAAAATAAAAAATCCAGAGTGAGGAGTGAGTTTTGGACACATCTGGACAGCCTGTGTGTCAGTGTCCGTATTCACGAGTGAATGCTATGTGCTCGGTTTATTTTTCACCCAAAAAGTTGGATAAATGAGTTCTGCAGCCGGGACGATCCCGCTGAATGTTTCTGAGAATATCAAAGAATGTTTACATATGGACACCTACGTTGTATTTTTAATTTTATTTTTTGCTTTATAGGCTAGCAGCACAATTCTTTACTGTCCCGGTGCTAAAGGTTGTGACGTGTTTTTTCACAATGCGAGGCCTCTACTGTGCTGCTCTGCACAGGCAGTATAATCTTGGAAAATGTACAGTGTGTTATAAGAAGTAAGCAAATACTGTGAGTGTCAATATCTTTATTACAAAACACCCATATATGTATTCATTGTTTATATAAAGTTTTGAAATAGAGCCGCATACATCTATTCTTGTTTAACTTTTTTTAAAGATATGCGGCGAGATGTAAAGACATTGACTGATAAGACTGCAGGCAGCACTCGTGGACTTCGATGTCGAACACTAATCGGATTGTGTTGTGTCTTCTTAAATAAACAGTTTGTGTTTGAAGTGTCGTTGCATGTTTGTTTTTTTATGGCAGAAATGAACAAATCTATGAGATATTCCTAAATAAACATGCTATGATTTGGTCTTTCCCACTATTATTGACCTCCTCTAGGAGCTAATGACGTAAAAAGTGAGATTAAACCGTTTCCTTATTTTGCTAAGAGTCACTGTGGAGTGATGTTAGACCCCTCAGGTTGTAGCACTATAACCACTGGGACTGCACACTGTATTACCACATGCTCCATAATGACAAAGTGCTCCTCCATGTTTGCTTTACAAGGCTTTGAGGTCTGCTGTAGATTATACGGACAGCCGTCCTGTGGGTGCTTTGAAGGAAAGAAGACCGGTTGTTGGTATTTACGACAAGCAGAGATGTAAGGAAGTCGTGTTGATGGCGGCGGTGGTGCACCTTACAATCAAGATGACGTTATTTAGTACTTCGGCCTTTAAAAGGTCACAAATGCAACTGAGTCAAAGGGCTTTAAAACGTCACGAGTACTCCCGACGACTCCGCACTGTATTGAAGAAAAGTGCCAAATGCTGTATATCATGTAACATTGCAAAGTGCAGTGTGACGGTTTCGACTTTTGAGCCCACTGATTGCGTTAACGATGAGGCAACACAAAAGATGCATGAAACACATGTAAAACCTTTAGCCTACATTGTATTTTTTTTTTTTATTATTTTAACACCTAATTCAAAGAAGGCTAACCTTTGTTGGATCCTTTTAATTGGTGATGGCAGTTTTAGTATCATTTACAGGTTGGTAGAACATTGTGTACCTTCTCAAGGGTACAGCCAGTATCCCAGACAGAAGTATTGACAAATAATAAACATATAAAATCAAACACAGGTTTTCAGCGTTGATCACGTCTCTTTTATCCTGCTACAAAAAAAATAAATAAAGTGAAAATACATTAATATACTCGATTCCAGCAATGATATTTGCATTTATGTTTCAATCTCTCTCTCTCTCTCTCTCTCTCTCTCTCTCCAGGATCATATGAAAGTTGACTGTTTGCTTTATCAGCGTTGTTGTTGTTGTTGTTGTTGTTGTTGTTGTTATTAAATGTGTGCAGATGTCAGCTGCAAAGCTGACTGAGTTGTAATCCTCACTTACCCTTTGAAACTCCCATTGCACCTTGGGTGACGGTGAGTCGGGTTAATAATTGCAAAGTTAAGATGATAAAACCTCTGCTCAGATGTTAGCAGGGGTAGAAGAAGGTTCTGCACATCCACTCGTCATCTTTCCAGGTACCGGTGGAGGAAAACTGAAAGAGGTACGACCGAACACACAAAACGTTCACTTATATTACTTTTAGTGTAGAATAGAGAAGAATAGTACTTTATTCATCCCCAAGGGGAAATTTGTGTTATGAATAAAGTACTATTCTTTAAAGTATTGATTAATGTGCAGATGAGTTTCTTTATTAATTTAGCAATGTGAGAAAATAATGAAAAATTACAAATATACTTTCTTAGAGCCCAAGGTGGTGTCCTTAAATTCCTTGTTTTATTCAACAATCAGACCAAAACCCAAATATATTCAGCTTACTGTCATATATGACAAACTAAAGCAGCAAATCCTTACATTCCTCCTCACGCCAGCGAATGTAACGCCAGATAAATAACAGACGTTGATCTCCAGAATATTGTCCATGACTGAAATATGTCAACAACTATTGGATGGATGGCGATGAACTTTTGACTTGATCCAGGAGACATTTTGTTCTATTAGATGGGCATTACATTTTAAAGATTCATGTCGTATCAGCGTTACTGTAATTATAAGTTCTCTCTCTTTCTTTCATCCACCGAATATGGTGTGAATGTTCCATTTGCTTGCTAAAAAAAAAGCCAATTCAAGGTCCCCAGAGGATAAACCAATGATTTTGGTAATGCCTTTCTCATCTAGAACCACCAGCAGGTCGATGTCTTTCTTATTCAGCATTGGGGTTATTGTTCAACTCACATGTTCCTTGTGTTTTCACGCTATTTAACAAATGTTATCCTCAATTGCGTCAAGGCTAAAATGTTGTCCTCCTAGATAAGCTGCCATTGTAGCAGTACTTGATCACTACTTGTTTATTAACACACCAGTGTTGGCGTAGGAGTGAACAGTACAGCAACGGTCTCGCGGTGATTATGTCATCCTCGTAGGATCAACCTTTCACCTACTTCCTCTCTCTCTCTCTCTCTCTCTCTCTCTCTCTCTCTCTCTCTCTCTCTCTCTCTCTCTCTCTCTCTCTCTCTCTCTCTCTCACACACACACACACACACAGCGGCATCAGTGGCGACGCTCGTGGGGAAGAGGAACCCAAAATATATATAAACACAGGTAACGTTAAAACACTTTGACGGCTTTTTGATGCCACTTTAATACACGAACGTTAAAAAGCCGGTAAACCCAGCTGTGGCGGAAGGTTAGCCTCCCTTGTTAGCTTTGAACTGAAAGTGTGATAAATATAAGCTATATATATATATATATATATACATGTACAGCGCATGCGTCAACTAGCTTAAGCTAGCAGGTTAGCTCCTGCTTTAGAAAGCTACTCTTCTTCTTCTTCGCCTACTTCTTTTATGTGATTTCCGGTCGCAGTTTGAAACGACACGACTGTTTATTTATCAGCGAAGATGTTGTCAGCACCTCGATGTAACAAGTGAACTACACTCCGGGTTAACTTGGCTCTTGTGTCTCTGTTTTGGTTTTTAATGGATGTAACGTCATGTTTGTGTGCCAATCTGTGACGTCACATCGTAATTAGCTGTGTTGGTAGTTTTAAGGAAACTGGAATGAAAGGGTTCTTTTTAACGATATACGTCACTAGAGGCTGCTACATTTAGCTCAACACCTGTGCAAACAAGCACACTTTAAGACGAAGCGAAGCTAGACCATGTATTGGGTTTAAAAGACTACAGAAATGTGAGTATTTGCAGCTTTTCCTCGTCTCAGTATTATAGTGACTTGGAATATATTTGGGTTTTGGACTGTTGGTCAGACATATGATGACATCACTTTTTCTGATTTAAAAAAAACAAACAAAAAACACAGCAAACTGTAGACCAGTTTATTTATGCAGTCAGTTGCAGCCCTAGTTTTAGTTTTCATCATTTTTGGGGGCTACTATAAGCCACATGGCTCAACAAATCCGTACACAGGTGCAGGATTATTGATCACAGCACACTTTGAATATGTGTTTCTTAAAATAATGCTCCTGTTTTGCACAGCAGCTTTGTCCAGATCTTACCAGCACACAGTCAGCAGACCGATGTACGAAAAATACTCCGGTCACAACTTCACAAAGCCCCCGTGAGAAAGCTCACATTTTGAACTGTACCCAATGATTTTGGTTTTGTTCAAAGCCAAAACGTTGCTTCTTAAATGGGGTGTTAGAATTAAAGTCACAAACTGCTGCATTATTTAACCTTTTTCACATTAGTTCAATTTAATTATATGCCGCACAGACAATTTTATTTGCTGAGAACTGTGACATAAGTACATTTAGCTTTAATAGGTTACTCCTGATGTTGGTAACTTGATACATTTGTTTTATTATACACCCCTTTCTCCAGAAAGGCCGAGATTCTCCTCGTGCCACAAGTCTGTGGCAAGCGTCTGTCAGGACAGCTGCGAGTACTGACCGACAGACAGACAGATAGATAGTGTGGGCCTAATGTAGGCCTATTTGTAGACTTAATAATTACAATATGCAATACTGCTGTACAAAACGGAATATTGTTTTGTTACTACTACATTTCACTTCATAATATATACCTTAACATTTATAATGTACCAGCCTTTTTTAGTTAATTTACTTCATTTTATTATGTATTTTATTCCTTTTTGTTTCAAAACCAGCGAAATCATACTTAAATAACTACAACGTGGTTACACTTTTAAGGATGTATACAGTGGTGGCTCAGCTGACATGTAACAACAATGGGTGCTCCCAGTAAATGTGGCTCCGCCCTCTCAGCTCGGCAGCTTCTTGACGGGTGCCGAACGAGTGCCGCTCCCTTGCTTGCCGCTGTCCTGACACCTGAGTGACGCAGTAATCGCACTCCCTGTCTCTCCCTTCTTTCATTTTATGGCCTTCCTTTCTCATTAACTGCAGTGTTGGAGGCCCTCTCTGATCTGGAGACCTAGTTGGCTGAAATGTGGATGAGTACATTTTCACGTCTCGCCCTGCAGAGGAGCACCTCTGCGATGGCCTGCCAGGCTCTGAGGGCTTGTCGTAGACCAGGACGGGCTGCAAGTCCACTACCCTCCTGCCTGACTTCAATGCAGCTTCGCGGGCAGCAGACGCTGGGGTCTGCCTCCCTCCCTCTGGCTCAACACTCGGTGAGGAACGTCCAGGCTCTGGATGAGAAGCGGATGATGGAGGTGGAGTGGGAGGATGGAGGCCACAGTCTGTACCCGTTCACCTGGCTGAGAGACAACTGCCAGTGTCCGCTGTGTACGCTGGACTCCGCTCAGGCCCGGAACCTGTTGATGTCTGATCTTGACATCCACACTGGAGTCGACGTCGTTGAGGTCACCAACGACAACAAGGTAGGCCGCCGCCATTATCAGACTCGTTCGTCAGGGTTCACGTGCTCAGTACGACGTTCTATATCAAACCCTGAGGTGAGTTTTTGCAGAAAAGACTTAAGCGAGCAGTAGAGTAGTGAGGTTAAGAAGCGTAGAGACAGAGTGAATGAGTGAAATAACAACTTAATGCTTCATCCACACTCTCTTATCACAGCTTTAGAAAGCACACTGCTATCACCAGATGAGTGACAACTTTGTTTGGCTCATTTTCCGTTTTTCGAGCTGCGACAGCACTTTACAGCCCCTTAGCAACTATCAACAATCAACATTGTGTTATATAGTGGTCAAATAACCACAGAAAACTGTTCAATCAGCGTTCTACTCCTGTTCTACTTCTACGGGTTTGGCTCTCTACGGTCAAGATTTATTGACATGAGAGTTGATAAATCACTTAATTCATCAACCGCAAACTAATATGCAAATATTTTGATCGTCTATTAGCAGTTTAAGTCATTTTCCAAGAAATAATGTCAAACATTCCATCTTCTCAAATGGAAGAATCAACGGCCGTTCCTCCTCTTGCATCTTGTTTTTATTTAACATTGTGTAAAAGTTTCATGAAACTTGTTCCACTTGACTAATGGCATTTACACTTTGGTTTGACTGTTTGAGGGCAACTGCCTGTTGATGAACTGTGAGGTTAGACAATCTCATTTCGGCAGAAGCACACGTTCATTCTGACCTTCAAGTCCTCCAAATCAATCAGCTCTTGAATGCTGCATCCTTCAGAGGTCCCTGAAGTGGGACACGGCTATAAACGGATTGCTTTGACACGATAGTGCTGCCAAGCTACTGTGTGCCATTTGCTTATGTCGACAAGAAATGTATGTAATTATGTTTCCTGTATCAAGATTCACTCGCTGATCTAGTATTATAGTAAACATGTGTTAATGTCTTCACGTTGGCTTGTGGCTATAGAGAAGATTAGATGGCTGCATGGGCCAAAACAAACAGTTTAGAAACAGCAGATGGTGGACATACGAATCCAATCTTTTCATTTGATGTTTTCAGATTTTCTTCATTGTCAGGCTGGTTTTCTGAGTTTTTCAGCTCGTCATGGTTAAATGTTGTGTAACAGTGATACTCGGAGAGGTTAGAAGGAGATGTACGGATCTAAAATATTATCTTCCTACGTAGAAACCTGTGGAGCTAACATTAGCCGAGTGTGTTAGCGTATCATTAACTTACGTTAGCACTTCTATGCTAGGCTAGCTACTGAAGGTACACTAAATATACACATATGTACGTAAATGAAGTCTGTAAACCATCAAACATTCTAAATGTTATCCTTTGTTATAGTCATTTATAGGGGTTTTTTCTCACATAAGACACAATTCAAATGATTAGGAAATAAACAAATCTTGTCTTCAGTAGTTTTAATGATGTATTATAAGATGTATAGAGCTAGTGTTAGGAAGTTTAACAGGTCATAATTCATCTCTAATATATATTTATTTTGTTGTGAAAACATCTCCTTCAAACTACTAGATTTATTAAAGTTTCTCACCAACACTGCATTTTATGAGATTTCACATGAACACATCATGACAACGTTATAATTTACCTTCGCCCAATACTCATTGTCACTGAACAGAGCCTGAACGCATCATAATGTAACTGAACGCAACCTTCGTTCGTTGGCCGTTAGCGATGCTGCCATCGTCCTCTCAATTTAAACACAGACTGTTTGTGTACGATGTAACATTATCAGAGATCGGCGACTAGAAAAGCATAAATGCCGACGTCCTGCTCGCATATTTTACTGAATATTAGTGGACAACGATCATCAGTAAAACTTTATTTCACACTGCTTGCTGCTGCTAGCATTGTTTTTTAAACTTGTGTTGGCTGCTGAATCAGTTAGACATCCTGGATATATCCTTGTATTAGACCCTTCTGTCTGCTTCTCTCTAAAAATCACTTTTTCCAAGAAAATCGTTAATAATTCATGGAGTGCAGTTAGTGACAGTGTGGGCTCCATGGTAGCTCCGACAGCTTGACGGAGTAGCAGCGAGGGGCGGGGCTTAGCGAAGGGTTCAATCGGGATCGATAAGCGTTCATGTCTCTCAACAGGTGTCCATTGCGTGGCCCGACCAGCACACCAGTGTGTTTGACGCAGAGTGGCTGAAGAAACGCTGCTTCTCTGCTGCTGCCAGACAAGCATTAAAAGAAGAGCTTTTCCTCAACGGTGAGTCCAGCTTTTTATTTTGTCCATCTGAATTTGAAAGCATGAGTCGGCATTTTAGAATTTCATGTAAGGGAATGAATTGAGGACCACACCCTAAATGTAGGTATAGCTGCTGCTAGCTGGAAATCACTCATCTCCCCCCAAATGTATTTATAATGTGTAAGTGGTAAGACAGTGGTGCTGTACTAATAAATTAAAAATGAATACACATAATGCATTCAGACTGCTGACAAAGGGGCCTGTACTGATTGGACTGCACTGGTCTGAAGCTAATTAATACTTTCTAATTGATTACCCTGTTATCGATCAAATAGATGGTTTTTATAGGAGGTCATGAATCACAACGCAGCTGTCTTAGAATTAACAGGATGAACAAACACTCATGATTTACGGCATTTCTGAGAACAGTAATTTCATTACATGAAAAACAAACAAGCAGGCCGTTGAAGCTCGCCACGCACATCACTTTCCATACGGTCATACTTTCACAGTTATGAACATTATATTTCACTCTGGATACACTCGTGATTGACAGGTTGCTTCGTCCGGTCTGGGAGTTGTCCGTGTTTTCAGTTGACGAAAGTTAATTGTAACATTTTGGTTGCCTAAAAAAGTTTTATTCAGCGCTCTGTTGTAACTAAATGTTTTATTCAGCGCTCTGTTGTAACTAGCTCTACCGTCTCGTGTCACTTTTGGTTGCAAATTTATAATAAATTTTAAAAAGAGACGGCCAAAGTAATAGAAAAAAACTCTCCTTTCCGCACATTTTCTTACTCGGTACCATAACAGGGTTGTTAAGGAGGAAGGTTTTTTTTTTTTTTTCTTCTTCTAAATACTGGAAAGAGAACTCATTTTACAGCACATTTACAATGACCCAGTACGTTTTACAGTCTGCCAGACAGCAGAGGAGAAAATTAAGCCGTGGAACAAGGTAGCAGCGTTTCAGCGGAGCGGGGGATGGACTGTAGTCGGGATTGTGTACACACACACACACACACACACACACACACACACACACGTGGTCCTGAAGGACCCACAGGGCTGAGTGGCTCCTGCTCGGTTCCAGACTGATTAGACTAATGTGTGTGTGTGTGTGTGTGTGTGTGTGTGTGTGTGTGTTGCAGAACCTTTCCATTCATGTTGAAGTGTAAACGGATCCCCCTCATAAGAATTTACAGACAGATAGTCATTATATGGAGTAGATTATCAGAGCCAGGAGTGCTCCTGGAAGACGCCGCTAAGCTCAAACACCAAAACACAATACAAGATGATGTTGCACAGACACACACACACACACACACACATTCTCTCTCTGTCTGGGTTTAATTATTTCCTCCTGCCTAAAATTCCTTGCACCGAAAAAAATACCCGGAAAAAGTTCTACTTTCTCAAAAAAAGATGGATGATGAACGTTCACTTGGGAGGATTTTGGCTCCTGTTCTCGCTCTTTACTTCTCCGTGACGTAAACTAACTGAAGCGTAGTCCACAGTTTGAATTTCTGTTTCCTTTTTCATGCCGTGCACCTAGATGTTACAGGCCTGAGTATGCCTGTTAAAGTGCTCTCAACGGTGAAAGTGAAGCACACGCGGGACACTGCGAGGTCAATATGAAAATTGGAGCTCTGGGGGTATTATTCAGCCTCCCGCTTTCATGACCGAGCTAATGTTTTTTTCTTCTGCTTTTACCGTTTCTATGGAGTCGTGTAACTCAAACCGCAGTATGTAGCTCAGCGGCAGCTATTATTGGAGTGAGACATGGAAATGGTACTATTCAAGGACACTTATTTCATGATATTGAAAATTTTTAAATCTGTATTACACACAAATATAGAACGTGTTTTCCATCATTCTCAGACAGAACATTTTACTTTTAAATGACTTTCCAGTCAGTTCCTCAGTTCCTCCTTTTATTTTCAAATGTCTGCTGTAGCGTATTGGATGCGATTTGTTAACATCTCTAGTTTATTGTCCTTGCACATGTGGTTGCATGTGAACATCGGTATACATGCGAGTCTCATTCAGACCCCCTAATGCTTCTGCCATATGGAAAACTGATTCAAGAGTCAGGGTCAAGAACAGGTCTGCATGTTCTTACCAAACACAAGCTCACCGTTGTCAGTGTTTCCTTCCTTGGGAACGAACAAATCCCCGAGCATGTAGGTGTGTGTAACCAGGAATGAAACCACAAACTGCCTGGTGTTTGAGACGGAGGAGCTCTTACAGACAGTCTCTAATATCCCAATATACAGTTGTTATTGTTTGGACACGATATTTTTAGCAATTTAGAAGACGTTTGGTAGCTTTGCTGGGTTTTTTACGTTTTTTTTTTTGCAAAAGAACATATTGTTAGACAGTCGGGCTACCTCTTCTTTGGGCCTGCCTTCATTCGGGTATCGTTTTATTTTCAAAGGGCATGAACTACAGGAAGTCAGTTCAGTCCCCCGCATGGTTGTTGTTGTTTTTCGTCAAGGTAGTGGCATGGCTCCAGGGCTGGCAATGTCTGTTGGGTCGAGGCAGAGACGATTGGTTAAGATCAGGCATCAACCTCCAGTAGTAAGGGTCAGGATAGACCATTTGTTAGCGGGTATGGGACCTGAACGAATCAACTATCCGGTACCTCGGCGAGCATGGATGCCCGGCCAATCCTAGCCCTCGAATGCTGCGCAAGGCGGGTCTTGCCAAGGAAAAGCAGTGCGAATTGATAACGACGCGTCTGTCGGTCGGAAATGTCCATTCACTACTGGACAGATTTCCATAAATTTTGATTCAAACCTTTGTGTTACCCTCGGGATGCACTGTAGTAACTTGAAGGGATGCCCTTACTTGTCGTGTGTAGAAATATATATATATATATATCCTGTTAAATCTCTCAACATCCGCTACTTGGATTGGCAGGAATTTTGGGGGGATTCAACTAGGCGGGTCAGAAGACGGCTGCTCGGTGTGGGAGGATCTCCTCATGTGACCTCTCCCCAGTGCTGGCTGGCCCTCCCTGAGCCACATTTCGTCTATGCGGCGCCCTGACCGCTGGCTCTGGGTCGGCTTGGAAAGGCGTGGGGTGAAAGCGGCTTGCGGCTTCGACCGAGAGCCACGGAACCCCATGCTCAGTTAAAACTGTGCAGTGTACCCATTCATCATTCAGCTCTAGTGTTAACAATCTGAGATGAAAGTTTTTGCTGAGGAGACTAGCGCAGCTAGCTAGCAAAGGGACCTCAGCGGCTGAGTGCCCGTTCTAATCATTGTAGGACATATAAGCAGTGGACGTAGTCACAGTGAGATCACCCATTGGTTTGTGGACTTCTGTTTTTGAAGCCTCGAGGTCAGCATTTTGGCCGTCGCCATCTTGTTTTTTTGCAACCCAAAGTGACACGAGAGGGTAGAACTAAGGACAACAGAACGCTGAATAAGAGACATTTTTAGGTGACCAGAATGTTAGAATGAACTTCCATGAACTGATAACACACTGTGACGGGGGTTAAATCTGGAAGACGAAAACACTGACAATGCTGTGGGAGTGACCTGTCAATCACATTAGCCCCGCCCTAAAGCATACCCTGCTTTATGGTCTGTTTGACTCTAAATGGACCATAATGTACTAAATAAACATCATGCTGTATTGAAGAAGACTTGAAACTAGAGATTGAGACCATAAACTCACGTTTACAATGTTTACTGATGTAATAAATCAAGAGAGAAGTAGTCATTTTCTCATAGACTTCTATACAACCAGAGGAGTCGCCCCCTGGTGGACAGTAGCGAGAATGCAGCTTTAAGGCACTTCAGCATTGGCTTCACTCGAACAAATGGTTGCCGCTTTGGTCAAATATTGCTAATATGGTGACACATGCAAGTACCTGACCATATAGGACACAGTGCACAACTTTGACGATGCAGTGTACAATTATTAACACAGTTTGTCATATTTCCTGAAAAATAACAGTTTTGGACATACAAGCTTTTCGTCTGACAGCTACGCTGCGCCCCTCACGACCTTATCTTCAACGACTCTCCCTTTCACCAGTCAGATATGCCTGCCAGATGCTTTTCATATTTGAACCGTGTCATCGTCTCGGGGCCTCCCAATTTGCGCTTGTCATGTTTATTTAGTCGGGGAGGCAATCATGACTAATTTCATGTGACTGGTATTTAAAAGAGGGATGTGAAACAGGTTAAATGGAGTTTCAGAATCTGTAGAAATATGCCCAAACACACAGCTCCCAGCCGTTTCTCACACACTCACCCACCAGCTCACATCGGTAGTTTGTAAAAGGAGTCCGTATTCTAGCCTTCTCTGATTGAGTAAACTGTTTGAATCGCTGGCCCTCAATGGGGCATAATGGCATGTCATTTCCGCGACAAGTTGAGTCATTTGCTGTGATCACTTAGAATAACTGCAGCAAGTTGTGCTAATGGGGGTACGTACCACCGCCCGGCCTTCTTTGGCCTCCCTTTCCCATATCTTGCTGCTCTGCAGGTCAAAGCCTGTTTACTTCACTCATTTGCAGAAGGTTTTTGTACCTCATGGCCCTCTAGTAGATTGCTAATTTTGTATTTTAGTAGCAGAACACAAACTCAAATTGTGCTCCGTGTTTCTGATAAGACGATTTAATAAAGTTTATTTTATCCTTCTTATTAACAGCAACACTGCTATTGTTTCTACTTGTTGAGTCTGTGTGTGTTTATCTGTGGAAAGATTTTGTCATCGCGAAAGCGTTCCAACCCGAGCAGTCGGGAAGCTTAACCGGTGTGTAGTCGGTATCAAAATGAAGGTTGAGGGTTTATGCCTTCATGCCTGAAGGCATCAGTAAAAAATAAACAGTACGATAATAACAGATTCAATAATAACATTCTAGAGAGTTCATTCTTGACCTTTGACACAGGAGTTTGACAGTCTGTGGCTCCTCACAGTGTAGTTTAGTCCAAGAGTTTCAGAATACAAAGTATGTAAAATCTTACGAAGCTCCGAAAGGACTTCATGAAATGAATTAACGGGTAATGTG